ACCCGTTAAAATACACCAAAATGCAGGAAATCACATCTACTTTATTCCAAAATTTCCTGGGGGAGGACCCCCACCCGTGTTGCTTATTTGCGTTCTGGCATCAATTACTTTAGCCCTGTTACTTGGTATGACTACTGCTGTTATGATTCTGTTCAGTTTCATGTAGTTTTCTGTAATAAATTGAAGAAGTGGCAATGCATTGATTATGTTCATTTTGTGAATAGTTTAAAGTTTTAAAGTGGTTGTTAATTTTCTCAAAACTGTAAATTTTGCAAGTTGAAATTAAAAATGTTAATTGTGTTTTGAATGAAAAATACTCCATGTTTTAATGTATAAAAATTGTATTAGCACTATTAAAGAACAGGTCTCAAGTATTTTATGTTGCACAAATATTTCCATTTCATTTAAGAGACAAATTTGAGAAAATGATTTAATAAACATGAGAGTTATGAGGGGGTCCCTGAACCCAAAAAGTTTTGAGGACCCCTGGTTTAGGGGCAAAAGTTGTTCATTGATGTAATGGATACTCTGCTTTATTTTATCATTTTACAAAAAAACAAACAAAAAAGTAAGTCTGTTCAGATGAAGATCTTATCTGATTTGTCAAGTGGCCACAAACTGGAGGTTTTCTCCTTCGTTTACATGAGTATTTCCAAAAGACAAAAAATAAAAGGAAAGCTTGTTGCCATATATATTAGGAATTTTATTCTATTATTGTGAAATGTTAAGGCATACCTAAACGCTTCCTTTACAAATGTTCACAGCAACAACACATTAGTTCAACCAGCTGAAGCAAGGCACTTTAACAGAGCCTTTTGTATTCACCATGAGTTATATAACTTAAACATAGATTACATCTTTGGCACCAGAAAACAAACAAAAACAACACAGATATATAAAAGAGAACAAAGAAACCAACAAAATATATTAACATCTCTCACTTCAAATTGCCACTCATGTAAACATCAATTCAAAAGTAGTGGAGGACAGCAACTCAAACTGAGACACGGCACTGACCGGCAAATGCAGTGACACAAGAAATTTGAGGAGCAAGCTTAAACTAAATGTGAGGTTTTAAATGCACTTGGAAAAACACCCCTGCTGATGAATGTTGTCCACACATGAAACAAAATAAGATATTGGTTTAAAGTGATTAATTACTTGATTATGACATGAAGTATTTTATCACTAGAAAAGAGTGTATTGAGGCACATTTCAGTTAACTATAATGCACAGTCTTTGAAACAGTAGTCTACATTCAGCAGTGTTCAGTAATCCTACATTAAGTGAGAGAAAAAATAGAAATTCCAGTCTCAGCTTACAGTCAGCTGATATGTGAAATACTCGAGCAATGGAGGAAACACTGACGAATATAACACAGTGATGGAGACAATTATTAGAGTAGCAAATGCAGGCCCGTTATAGTTGACCATCTTTACACTTATGGTAGAACCAGCTACCACAGCACAAGAGGAAATAACCAGCCCAAGAAAAGGAATCATGTGGAGAATGTGTGCCATTTTAACAAGGTCGAGGGGTCAGACTTTAGATAGCCTTTTTCTTTAACAGGAGCATTCCCTCAACAAGGAATGTGAGAAGATTAGCTCCAGCGTGTCATCGAAGGAGAGCAAAATGTCAGGCAGACACCATTTGAGGCCCTGGGATCTGGAAAACTGGACCCCAGTGAAACGTTGTCAGTCTTCACCAGTTTTTTAAGGAGTGAACTGAGCAGGCGGTCTGCAAGCTCTGCATTCAAACGACGTTTCCAAATCCTTTCCTGAGCTGCGAGCAGGGCCCCCAAATGCATTTAAAACAAGGAGCAACTGTTAATTTAGACTGGAGCTGTCTTGTGAAACTCGATAGCCCTTTAAAACAAAGAACATGTTTATCCTGTGTATAGTTCTGAAATAGGCTCATTACTTTTAAAAATATAGCTTAAGGGATGCAGCAGTGAAGATAAACCAAACAGAACACACTAAATACGCATGTAATCTACAAACAGAGAGGTCACATGACAAAAGGAGCAGCATTTATAAATATAAATACAATTCTAGTCACAAACATGCACTCTCAGCAGCCCACATCCTGTCACATTACAAAACACTGTCCAGGTACCTAAGGGATCCCCACGCCCTGTCCCGTGCAACAGCTAAAGGAAAGCTCAGCTCTCCTCAGCAACACAGTGGCCTCACAACGAGTGAGATCTTTTAACTCCTCAAACGCTTTCATCGATTCTGGCCGTCGACATTCAGTCATATGAGCTGCAGTCGTGTCTTAAATGAGGATCTCCACCACTTCTGTATCCGAGCTCTTCAGCATCTTCAGCTTTGGCCCCTCCACGTGGTCTAAAATCCAAATAAAAAGAGCAAATAAAATATAAAATGTCAGCATGTGAATGTGAATGTTGAGTAAACAGCTCGTTTTATTTGATCATTTTAGTTCCAACGCCTTAGTATCAACAATGGTTACACTTCTTAAAAGTTGTAAGTCAGCAGCACGGTAATCAAATTATTATATATGTTTTTTTTATAAAACATAACCCACCAGTGGTAGCTCCTGGGAACCCCCCAGTAGCCTTCATCTCGTCAGTTTCTGCTAAGACCTCCTGCTCCTCAGGGGCCTCTTCACATTGGGTGCTACTGTCTCGTTTGGGGCCCTTAGCTGCAACAAAGGACGGGGGTTTCAGCCCAGCTGCACCTGTCTGGTCATTTAAGATGCTTTTGCCTACAAATGTGGACAAAGTGAGGACACCATTTAAATGCACGCTTTCTTCCTTAATTACGCCCCCCCAAACATTTGCCCTACCCCTGTTCTTCTCATGACTATTCTGGATGGGGCTATTCTGGAGTGAGCGTTGATATGCATTCCAGTATAAAAACATGCAGCCTATTTGAGTAACACGAAAGGACCATCTCCAGCTCCCGATCTGGTTTATTTAGAATGCACACATTTTGTCTGGCGACACGACCAGTTGTTGCAGACTCAAATATGACATTCAAGTTGTCGGACTTCTCAGATATGAATAGTAAAGATATTAAAACCCTTACTGTCTGCGCTGCAGGTCATGGTGGGGATGGTGGGGACAGATCTGGCTGGACGAAGCCCCTGTCTCTCTGGCCTGCCTTGCTCCCATTTGGAGCGCTGCTGCAGGACTTTGATCACAGCGTCCTTCTCCAGGAGCTGAGCGTGAAGTACACGGATCCTGAAAGCACAAAACACATCAGGATTAAACATTTCTGAACGAAACGCACACTGACGGAGGAGGCTAGCCTTAAAACAAGGGGTACCTGCTCTCCATCTCCTGCTGTCTGTGACTGGATAAAGGCTGGTCTTCATTGAAGCTGCCATTTGGTGAATGTCTGGGTGAATGATTGATGATGGTTGTATCTCTGAGAGGACAACAAGTTGCTGTTAGCATATTGAGCCCTTTGCATCACTGGTTTAACAATAAACAGATCTCATGTTTCTTTGTACCTCTGTGTTGCAGCAGTGGCAGCAGCATCCATTGCAAACTGTCTCATGGTGCTCTCCTCCAGGTACTTCTGCTCCCATTTGGTGATGTCTGCTTCCAGGCCAAGAATGCGCTCTTCTTTTTCCTTCAGCTGCTGCTGGGACGCAGACAAACTCACTTCTGAAGCTGTGAGGTCAGCCTTGTGGTTCTGGAAGTCACGAGTAGAGACATCACAGTATTTAAAAAACAAGTTTGGCTAATTTACCATATTTTCCGGCGTATAAGTCGCTTTGGTGTATAATTTGCATTTATTATGCGTCACCACTGACCCCCCCGGGAAACGTGGGCCGATCTTTGGCATGACACCGGCACAGGCAGCAGAGGAACGCTGGAGCCGCGAGTTCTCCAGCGTTCTTTGGCTGCACCAGCGGAGTGAAGCAAGCGCGCACGGGAGGACACGCTGTTGAAGTTCTTCGAAATTTAACAAAATTAACAATTAAAAATAATTATCTGTTTGCTCGACATTATATCAAAGATGTGTCTCAGTTTAATCTTTTCCTTAATAACTGCACTTTAATGGTCAATGTTTGGTGGTGGAGGGTGTGTGTGTGTGTGTGGGGGGGGGGGGGGGGGTGTTACAGGAACAACATATATGCCTATAGTTGATTGTCAAAAGCCTAGAGGGCCCTCTTGCACCACTAGTAGCTGCAAATGGTAATGTTTACTCTGGTTTATGTCAGTATGAACGAACATTTAAAGCGTCAGTCAAAAATTGCGTTATGAATATGGAAAAAAAAACACGTATAAGTCTCTTCAGCGTATAAGTCACAGGACTAACAAATCTATGCAAAAAAAACTACGACTTATACGCCGGAAATTATGGTATTCAGACCGACCAAGTTCTTAGCCTTGTTTTTCTTGTTGTTTTAACTGATACAGTTAAACAATTCTAAACAATAATGAAAACTGGAGCATGGAGGAGCAGACAGGATCCTAGCGACACTACAGAGATGTTCTACTGCAAGATGTTTTACTCTTCCACCAAGTCCCATAAATCCCCTCGTCATATGCTCCTACTAATGTGTGTTACTTGCAAAGAACAAGGCTAATGATGGAAGAAAACATAAATTGACACAAATATCATGTAAATTGATCAAGTAATTGCATTTCCATAAGGTTCCTGTGCAGAAATAAGCTCATCTTGAAAAAAGGCAGCCATCTTGGATTTTCAAATGGCCAGTCAGACAGATTTGACAAATACCTCAAATTATATCATATTGCAATTTTTCTATTATCTGTTTTACTGTATGACTGATTTTACATAAACTCTGGTTTAAAGGGCACAATAAACACATAAAACCCTGTTGGACACTAATTTAGTAATGAAAAAGACCGTAGAAAAGTTACTGACGTGTTTATCACTGGAGATTTAGACACAGATCAAATGTGTCAACATAATTACTAATACCAGTCACGTTTTGACAGCTTCAGTTATTATTAACGGACATATTCTTCAGGGTTCAGCAAAGAAAAGTTGAAAAAGATGTGAAAACACACGACTTCAGTGCTACTCTACATCTGCCAGAATAAACAATACCACGCAGCAACAACCCTGCCAGCTCTGAAAGTGGCTGTGCAGATTGACATTATTAATCAAGTTTTGATTCATTTGAATTTTTGGTGAGATTTTAAAAGGCTTTTCTATAAAGAGAAAAAATTTTAAATCTTTTTTTTTATTTGCATGAACTTGAAATAAAAAGCTTTTGACAAACAATAAAAAAACTTTTCTATTATTTTGTGCCCTAGAAACTTGTAATCTGTAAACTTTATTTATGTGCTAAAACAATTAATTTAGAATAAATTGTAGACTATTTTAAAGAAAACTAAAAGGAGCTACAACTGTTTTGTGAAAAGCTGTTTCATTCTGTGTTTTGAATAAGTAGAAGTTTTTTCACCACCTAGTGGCACGGTCTGAGTATTTCAGCATTTTTGTAAGAATGTTTGAACAGAGAAAAATATAATTGTTTAAAAAGGTTTAGTAGTGTTGGTGAGGTCAAGGCCCTCCTTTAATTGTATGTACATGAACATCAGAGTCATAAATTAGAAAGTTCCTGGAGAAACTTTTATGGGTCTGCCACGTTGTGGCCATTTTTAAAATTTTGATTTGACACTAATATGTTTTGTGCATTGCTCTCAGCTACCATCACATCAAATTTCAGCTTAATATCTCTAAAAATGGCTGATTTAAAGTATTTTTCCATTTGAGCTCATGTGGCCATCTTGGATTTTTGATTTGCAGTCAGAGTCTAGTAAGTATTGTCCTCAGCTACACCAACTTTCAGCTGAATACCTTCAGCAGCAGCTGAGTTATAGCCATTTGAAACTAGTCTAACAAGGTTAAGTCAGGTTCTCTGGATGGATTCTTCCCAGAGGACCTGAATTAATCTTGTTAGATTTTTCTACCTGGATTATTGAGCATCAAGACATTTGAAATTACCTCGGTGGCTGTCTTGCGTTTTTAGCTTTGAATTCAGAATGTGTTGTGCATCACCGTCAGGTACCACCACGACACCAAACTTCAACATCTTGATAATAGCTTAGTTATTGTATTTTTTCCATTTTAGCTAAAGCGGCCATATTGGATTTTAAATTTGCATTAGGAATGTAAAGCTACAACCATGCTAAATTTCAGCTCAATATCTCAAAGAATGACAGAATTATAGTCAATTTTGAGTTTTCTGAGGTAGCTGTGGCAGCCATCTTGAACCAAAATGGCTCCAAAAGGTAATCAGTGTTTTGTTCAGGGACCTCTCCACTCGAGGTCCTGTGACCTCACTATGGCCTTTAGAGGCTGTGGAGTTCTGTCAGTGTTTTTCAAGTAGAAAAATGGCATCTTTGTTTGCAAATTATGTTGCCATGGTAACTAGAAATGCCAACGAATGTAATAGCACACATCACGGTGCCGAGCCGGTCGTTTTGATATAAATTTGTGAGAGTACACGTTGCGGTTCAGGCCACAATAAAGTTAACAGAAGAGCAAGTCCCTTCTCCAACAAGTATGTTAATGACTTTTTCCCAACCTGCTGTGCCCGGAGGCTCTTCAGCTCCTGCTCCAGCCGAGTGCGCAGCCGCAGCTCCAGCACCTCCCTCTTCTCACACGCCGCCTGCAGCTGGGAGAGCGCGCTCTGCAGCCGCTCCACTTTCTTCACATACGCTCTCTTCCTGTGCAGCTCCTCCTCCAGCAGCCGGTTGCGGGTCTGCTCGGAGGCCAGAGCCTGCTCCAGCAGCTCTCTCATCCGCCGGCATTCCTCCCCGGACACACGCAGATGCTGAATCTGCCTCTCCAGATGTTCACGCTCCCGCTGCTGTTCGTCATCTAAGGCACAGAAACACAACGACATGTTCATGGAGGAGAAGTGTAGGCTTTAATGTGACCAAACAAGACAGTTTATTACACACAGGAGACTTTTTGAAACTTTAGAGTTCATGGGAGCAAAAACAAGAACGTTTAAGTTTGAAATCGTCAATAAAAATAAAACTTTTGGAGTGAGCTTTGCCACCTTAACAAGGAGGCTGATTACACAACACAAGAGCATACCTGTGGAGGGAATGCAGACTTCCTCTTATCTACTCATGCACACAAGCGTAGCTTTGTCCTGGCAAACGCTGTGGAATGTGTCTCAGAACGTAACGTAAACAAGCAGCTCAAAAATATTCCTGGCGTGGTTGTTGCATCAAAAAACACATAAATGCATAAACGGCACCTTTCATGGGCTAGCCTCTTCTGTGCCAACATACATGTTTATGAAAGACACTTCAAATCTAAAAAAGTATTAAGTCAGTACCAGTAGGTGGTTAACAAATTCCAGCGTGATGCCAAACAAAGGCAGAGGAATGCACATCACCAGCTGCCTCTCGTGCCAGTGCTTGAGACCAAGATCATCTTGTGCTGAGAAATGTTGAAACTGCAGCTGTTTAATCAAACTAACACAATCTCATGTGAGATCGTGCTCAGAGTCTTTGTTGTGAATGACTCTTTTGCTCAACACTTGTGAAACTGGCTGAAATATGGCAATTTTTCTGTTTTCTAAGGTTGATTGGCTGTGGTGGCCATCTTGAATTGAGTTGGCTCCAAATGTAGTACAACCAGTGATTATTTTCTAAAAGTTTCATTAAAATCTGCTTAGTAGTTCATGATATATTTTGCTAATGGACAGGATTTATTTTAAATGAAGCTGCAATTTTGGGGACCAGCCTCGGCTACCAACACACCAAATTCCAAGTTAATATCTGTAAAACTGACCTTATTTTTCAAGCTGCTTTAAACAAAAAGTCAATGCTGTAATTTCCAGACTGTAAGCCACTATTTTTTTGTTTTTCACACACTTTGAACACCGTAGCTTATACAATGCTGCGGCTTGTTTATGGTTTTATTTTTTGTTTTTTTGACGGGCTAACGAGCTTCCTGCCATCAAAACATTTAGCCTCGTCACACCCGGGCGCTCACACAGCTGCTCAATACACGTCTCTCTTGGGGGGTGGGTCCTCATGAAGCAGTGAAATTACCTGTATAAATAAAGGTTAAAAAAATCCGACTGATGAAATGACCAAACTGGTCACAGTGGACCAATGAAACCACCGTTTCCTCCCTGTTGTTTCCCCATTTACTGTACGTATTTGTGTAAGTTACGGGTACGTATTTAATTACAAGTTTAAATAATCTTTCAATAAATACCTCATGTTACAACATGAACACCCACGGCTTATAGACAAGTGTGGTCTACATATGTAAACAAAAAACCTTTTTGAATTTAGTGGGCACAGATTATTTTCAGGTGCGCTCAATAGTCTAGAAAATATGGTAAATTGCAGTTGACAAGTGATTCCCTTCTGCAAGCTTTAGTAAAATCTGTCCTGTATTTCTTCCGAAATTTTGCTAACACACACACACATAGGCAAAAGCCATTTCACCAACATTTTGCCTTTTTGCAGTTGGCGATAAAGACCCATTCTGATGGTAGAACATCAAGAAATGCACAAAATAAAATGCAAAAAAGTCATGGAATGTAGGTCATGTTGACTGTAGCGATGGTGTTTATGTTACCAGCAGAGATTGAGACATTCTTGTCATCAGTGAGGGAGGAAACCAATCCCTGCTCAGCTATGCTCCTGCCATTGTTAGGTGCTTAACGGGGAGGTCTATTTTGACAAAATCCCATCAATTACCATCCGGTGTGAAAGCACCAGAACGACTGCTGCAGACTCACTTTGCTCCAGGAGTTTGACAAAGACGTGCTGCCTTGGGTCTGAACACTCCGTCTCTCTGGCCGCTCGGTGTTTGACAGCTGCATCGAGTTGTTCTGGACAAGCAAACATACCACAGCGGTTACACACTCTTAATGTCACCCCGAGACGCAGACAGCGCTGCCTCAACAGAGAAATACCCAACATACCTCTAAGGTCTCTGTTGAAGTCATGCATCCTCTTAAGCTCCGCCTCCAGTTTATTCCTCATTGTTGTCTCTAGAGTTTCCCGCTTTGCTGAGCCTTTCATCAGCGTCTCATAAGCCTCAGAAATCCGCTGAATTTCTAGCTCCAACTAGAAAAATAAAAATAGCAAAAAGGTCAGTTTTTGGATCTCTTTTTGTTGTCTGGATTGTGGTTTATGCATCAGTCTGGCTAATGATTTACCTCTGCAACTGCAACTTACCGACAATCTACGGTATCCATTGTAGATATTATGGATTTAAAACAAGGAGAAACGCCAAACCCATGTCAAAGTAAAGGTCTAGCATTCTTTGAAGGACTGAATATCCCCTCTACCTTTCATGCCAGAGTTTTAGACTGAGATCATCTTATTTTAGAAATGACCAAGTAATCAGTTGTAGCCGTGCATCCAATGATTACTTTCTGAGAATATATTTAAAGTCTGTCCACATATTCATGGGATATTTTGCTAACAGACAAACAGGATTGACTCCAACAGTCAATGCTAAAGTTTTAAGCAAAGATCTAGCATAACATGTAGCATTTGGAATAAGTGTTCTAAGTTTTCTCAGCTACAAGAGCTCCAAATTTTAGCACAACAAACTGTATCTAAGACTGAATTGCAGCCATTTTTTTTCTAATTTCTGTTGGCTGTGGCAGACATCTTGAACGGGGTTGGCCCTAAAAGTTAATTAGCTGTTGATACACATCCAGTGATGGATTCCTGAAAGTTTCATTAATATATGTCCAGTGGTGCATGAGATGTTTTGCTTCCAGGCAGAATAGTCAGGAGCAAAGTTGTACACAAAGTTTTAGTGCAAGCTGTTAAGACTCAGAATGTGTTGGGAGCACGTCAGCTACAACCACACCACAACTTAGCTCAGTATCTGCAAAACTGACAGAGTTATAGCTATTTTGCATTTTTTAGTGTAAGTGGGCCATGGTGACCATCTTAAATCAGGGAGACTCCCAAGTTAATCACTTGTGGATTAACCATTTAATGAGTAATCACCAAAAAGTAAAAACAGGTCATCTGGACACATTTTTCTTGGTAGAAGTGTTCGTCAGTCTGAGGCCTGCCAACAAACTCTGTCGTATAAATAGCACCTTTTCACAGTGGTTCAAACCAGTCTGCTGTTGAATTCCAGAAACTAGCTTTTGCCATGTAAAATGGGGTCCATCAGTCTAACAATCGATCATCAGTGCATATCATTCGTTAAGAGGCCTGATGGCAGCTTGCTATTCACCGAACCAGCCTGAGGACAACCCGGCCAAAATGGTTAAAAAGAGTCCTGATGTAAGCCCAGTCCTCCAAGTAAATAAATCACACCAAAGTTAAAACATGTCATCTTTTAGATGAAAGACAAAGCATTTCAACCAAGAAAAATCTGTCCAGATGACCTGTTTTAACTTTTTTGTGATTTATTAAGCTGGATTGAGCTTACATCAGGACACTTAATGAGTACCGTACTTTCCACCTTACAAGTCGCTCCGCCATATATGTCGCATCAGTCCAAACATGTCTAATAAAGTGTAAAAAACATAAATTTGTGGCTTCGCTGTATACCTCGCATCTATTATGCATCACTGCTGACCACCCGGAAACGTGGGCCGGTGTTGTGCTAAAAATCAATTGGCTGACAAAATTGCGGCCGCGGGAGCGTGCACGGGAGGCCTTTAACAAGAATTTAACAAGATTAACAATTAAAAACAATTATTTGTTTGCTCGAAATTATAGTAAAGGTGTGTATCAGTGTAACTTGTCCTTACTAAATGCACTTTAATGGTCAAATCAGCTGCATTTTGCCGGGGCAGCGCGATGAAATGCAGCTGATTTGACATTTGATCCAGGAGTTCCAGAACAAGATGAAGGTGTTGTTATATGGCAAACCAAGTGTCTCATTAATAGCAACTTTTACCTATTAATGAGACACTTGGCTTGCCATATTGTTCGAGGGCCCTCTAGCGGCTGAAAATGGTAGTGTTCAATATTTTCCATGTCAGAATGAGTGAAATTGTCAGATCTCAGCCAAAAATAGGATTATAAATATGGGGAAAAAAAACATATATTAGTCACTTCGGTGTATAAGTTGCAGGACTTGCAAATTTATGCAAAAAGGTGCAACTTATACAGCAAAAAAAAAAAAAACAAGTACTTTTTAAACCTTTCATTAAAAACCTCATGAGATCCAAGCTTTGTTTGGTGTGCATTTTCTCTTTCTCCCTCCAAGGTACATGGGATTAGTAGGACCTAATAAGTTAAATAACTAGACTCTGTCATGGTACAGGAAGTAGCTTTAGGGAAAAAATGGCATCCTCATATGAGGACAGTAGGTTTATTTTTGTATTTTATATTTTTCTTTGCAAACTGGGGTCAGAAGGTCCCAATTACGCTAAAACATAATTTCAGCTTTCTATTATTATTATTAGTTTATTTGACAGGGACAGTGCACACAAACATAAAACAGAACAAGTCTACGACTGATGCGTTGCACAATGAGCATATAGCTGTAGCTAATTCGCAACTCCAGTCCCTATGATAAGCATTTCTCTAAAAGAGCTACGTCCTCATGTGAGGAGGACCCAGGGTCTTAGGAGGTTAAAAGTTGTCCAGTGGATTATAAGATAGGCACATTAATGTGCACACAGAAACATGGGCAGAACATCATCAATAGCCTTCGCTGCCTGGTGGAAAGTTATAATGATCCCGACATGAAAGCATTCTTTACTGATGTGCTGTGGTGTTCGCTCACCTTTTGCAGCTTGGCGGCCTTCTCTGTGCACACCTGCAGCTCCTTCCTGAGCTGCTCGTTCTCCCTCATCAACATGTCGCTGCTGCTGGAAGCTGCTGTAACACCGCTGGTAGCTACCTGAGCAGACTCATTTCTGCTGAGGGGCAGAAATGAGTAAGTTATTACAGCGCACCTGACAACCACAGGAGACACTCAGACAGGCTTGTCTGGCCCTGGTTGACTCACAGTGAGGTCAATACTTCTCTGGGACTGGGTTGTGTTCATTACCTGTGATGCTGCGAGTAGAACGGGGGAGGGGGGTCTCGGTGGTACTGCACATGCTTCTGTGAGTGGCTGAGCATGTATTCAGGGACTCTGGCATGGACTGGATAGTCCGGGGGTGGCCCACGCTGCTGTGCACACTGCTGGGCCCCCTGTCCGTCACACGCTGCTGCATTCGGAGCAGTATTTTTATAAAGCTGAGGGTAGCTGTGAGAAAGGGTCATAGCCGAGCCGTCCTGGTGTCCATTTCTCTCCAGAGAAAGCTGCATGAGCCTCTCACTCAGAGAGCGAGCATGCTCTCGCTTTAAATCCCACTGTCCCTCAATTTGACCTCCCATGGTGTCCTCACCGTCCTGATGTGGTGGCTCCTTCTGAGAGCTCAGATACTGGGAGTGGGCTTTGGCCTCCTCATAGGTGGGCAGCTCCTCCCCGTGGAGCTGGTACAGGTGATACACAAGGCTCTCAGAGTGCACACAGTCCCCCTGGTGCTCCTGGCCCTGGGGCTCCTGCCGAGTGGACATCTGCATGTACTGGGTCTCGTCCTGGATGAGGCTCTCCAGAGAGGAGCGGGGGCTGCCGGTGCCCCCACCGCTGCTGCCCCCACGCAGGGCCTGTTGTTGGATAGCCAGGAGCGTGCGAGTGTCCGTCAGGTTTCCGTAGCGCAGCTGCTCCTGGATGAGTCGGTGCAGGACCGTTCCAGAGGAGTCCTCGGCAGTTCTCATTTCAGTCAGTGGGAAAGAGGTAATAATTTAAAACAGGTTGCAGGGGGGTGGGCACGAAACAAATCAGAGACCTGAGGGGACAAGAAGAGTCATGATCAGTTTAAGAACAGGATTTAAAGCCTGAGCTGCTGATATTCTTCATCATGTTACCCTGAATGCTGACTCAGCAGAACCTTTGGTTCTGGGATTTTTCTACCGCTACTTTTCTTGGGTAGTAGTTTGAAATAATGGGAATTTACATCAATCATAAATAGAGAAGTGTACTCCAGCTGTCATCTTATTTACTTTCTATTTGAGAGGTAACCATGGTACATTTTTAACTTTAACTCCAACAAAAGCTGCTTGATTTTCCTGCAGGTCCAAAAAGACTTTTTAACAACCTTATGGACTGCTAGTTTATTGATTTTAACTACCTATATTCCAAAAATCTACAATTTATTTAGTCAGAAATAGACATGTAAGGACAATATAATGTTCTGTGGTAATAATAAACTTTGTATTTGGGACAAATAGTTATTAAATACTAGATATTTCAGAAAAGGATTAAAACACATAAACAACATATATTGAAGGTTTCATGGCAATAAAAAAAGTAGAAAATACACCAACATTCATCGTTTCACTGTTTTCAATAGAAATTCAGGTCAATAATTAATTCAAAACATTGAACTTTATACTGCTGTAGTTTCCTGTTGTTTAAACCAGATGCATGACTTTTAAAGGTATATGAAATCTCTTTTTATTAAAATAATTTGTTTTAACATAAATCTCTTTTTTAAAAAGTTATCATAAAATACCAATTAACACATTGAATATTTTCATTGGCAGTAACTTAAAGAGTCGTTATTGGAATTTTTTTTTTTTCCCATTTATCCTTTATTTATCCAGGTAGTCTCATTGAGCCAGGATAACTCATTTTCAAGAGAGACCTGAAATAAAATGTCACCAGAAATATATTCTTATTGCCCACATACTATATATAATATAAAAGTATAACATAAACATAAAAACACATGAAGCAGACTAAGATTTACTCATATGTTGGAATAGTGATAATTTTGCACCATTGTATTAGTGCACTGTACTAAAAAAAGGAGCATTGATGTATTTTCACACGTGTATTTCATGTAATCCTTCAGGGTTTAAAGTATTAACCGACATTGCGCCATCTCACTTCATCATCGCGCAAACTGCGACAAATTCAACTTTTCAGAATAAAACTTCAAACTCACCTCCGCGTCCCATCACATGATGAAGAAATATTAAAAATGATGTGCCTGTTAAAAAAAAGGGATATCAATATATTTGTCCGCGGTTTTCCAGAGCTCGTGTCCCCTTCACGGACATGTGTGCGCGAGGCAGCAGCAGAAGTGAGCGCGTGAAGCCGCGAGCCGCGCGGATAAATGACTGAGAGCCGATTGTTGGCTGCGGCTGGAATGAGAGGAATGTAAAAGGCTCCGAGTCCCTGTGGGATCAAAAGCAGGAGGCGGGAGGAGGGGGGAGGAGGGGAGGCGGAGGAGAGGGGAGGAGGGGAGGAGGGGCGGGGCCAAAAAAAAAAAGTTGCAGCCGAGCTCAGCTGGCTGCTTCGTGTAAAATGGACTGATGTTTTTGCTGTCGTCTATACAAAATTTAAACGGATGTTTCAGCCTTTTCAAACTGGGATCCTGTGGCGCAGTTTGAAAGAGTTTATTCTTGTAGTGTGTGCGACTGAAATGCAGGTAAGTATTTATTGTAAACAAAGCACTCAGCTGAAAACGGCATGGAGGCTTGATTTGCATGATTGCTCTACATTAGTGTGGCTTTAGTCTGCAGGGGAAGGAAGTCTGCGATTGTCATCACATGTCCCCATACAATGGCAAAATTGGTTCTCTGCATTTAACCCATCACACCTGGGATACATCCAGGTGGAGCAGTGGGCAGCTGTGAACGCCCAGGGACATGTGGGAATGGCTGGGAGTTGAACCGCGGCTTTCTGGTCCCAGGTCGGCTGCCCTACTTCTACCCAATCTCGGGCCCAGAAAACAAATACCGTATAGTGGAATTGGACATAGAATATCAAAGATGTTCAGATGGAAATCCAAGAAAGAATCTGCTGCTAAACAAACAAAAAAAAAAGAGTAAAGGCTGCTATGTACAAGACGTAAAACATCTGTTCTCGCTCATGTGGTTGCGAGGTGTTTTTCTTCAAATGAACTTTTTATACTCAAAGGGAAACAACAGCGCACGTCACGCACCAACAGCAACACCACAGTTGACCAAGATGGATGTGAGAAATATTTCTTAGAAATATCTGGTACTTCTGTTGTAAACTGAGAAGTGCTAATTCTCAAACACGTCACAAAGAAGCTAACGTTATCTACGAACAGATGGTGCATGATAACGAGCAAATAGGGAACGCTGCCTGGCTGAGGAGTACTCCTTCCTGGACATTTACCCTTTATTTGTACAGGTAGTCTCATTGAGCCACGAGAACTCATTTTCAAGAGAGACCTGTTTAGGGAGCACATGGTGGGGGTTAAGGGCCTTGCTCATGGGCCCAGAGTGGGGCGAATGAGGGTGGGGGCAAGTGTGGGTGTTTCACCTACCCCACCCACAATTTTGATGTTGTCGGGGCCGGGGCGTGAACCGGCGATCTTCGGATCACAAGCCCACCTCTCCTTCCTGGACAGAACAACCACAGCGAGACACCTCTCCTTGCTTTCTTTTCCGTGCACAAAAACGGTGCTATCTCCTTCCACAAGTTCTTTGACTATAGAAGTTGTGCTGGAAGAGTTGTAAAGATGACTGTATTTTCTAACAGCTTCGGCCAGCTGCTCCTCAGTGGAGCAGCTGGAGCGAACTGAAAGCAGCGTAGTATAAATGTTTCTCCACATAAACACATCTGCGTTGGTCTGACCAGTCACACAATAACTGGCACAAATCCCAAAAATTTGGCAGGAGCTTGTGCACAGAATGGGTTCTCACAGTGCCTGCAAAGTCAAAATAATGTAATTTGACACACAACTGTGTCAATGAGAACAGAGTTTGTAATGTCTTGTAAATTATAAATCAGCCTTAGCTATCACGAATAAATATGGAGTATCAAACGGAGAGTCCATAAAGGCAGAGCAGCATCCGCACACAGTTGTTCACTGTTTCAATGTACGGTAATTTCAACCCTACACCAACACTCTTAACTCAATTTGTACCAATGCGTAAAAATTGTTGGACTTTTTGTCCACGTTTGGCACTATCAGGGGCAATTCTAGAATCTGCTCCTTATGGGTGCTTAGCCCCCAGTTTTGACAATGGCTCTTGGCTTGAACAACGTGGTGGCCATTGGCGTCAAAAGCATCTGTAATGTAACATTCAAGTACTTGTAATTGGAGACCAATTCCACCATAGGCGTGTTTGCTCCATCTGAAATTCACAATCATCATCATCATCTTCTTCACATTGATGTGGAGGTTGTTCTTCCTGCAGCGTGAACAGGAGGGGACTCAACACACAGCCCTGAGGGGAGACAGTGCTGAGGGTTATGGTGGAGGAGGAGAAGTTGCAAAATCCTAATGATGGTTTCTTTTATTTTAGGGGTGCTGAGCTAAAATGTAGGGGTGCTTCAGCACCCCCAAAAAGAGGGTAAAATCGCCCCTGGGCACTAGAATGGACGTCAACATTGTTGGTTTAATTTGAGTCACTTTGGCTGTTTTCCTAGGAAACCGCCACATCTGGCCACAAATTTTACAATTTATGGACTCATTGCACAGACTTTGTTTCTCAATCTATCAATTTGTCTTTAGAGAAGCAAATCACATTTCAGGAGATAATTCAATTAAAGTTTGTGACATGTCTGATCATGAAGATGTTACAAAAGATCCACGAGGAAGTAAAATCCCTGTACCCTGACTGGAAGGTGGATTTAGTTTTTATGATAGAAACAGTAAAATAAAAATAGTAACAGATCCCATCACCTGCACTGAGGCACCGTTGAAACTGTTATCATACACCTGAGACGTGTTTTTTATTTTATTTTACTAGAACGGTCTTTTGTTTGCACGGGCCTGGTAAATATTGAAGCCCAGGCCCGTGCCAGTTAATTGCAGAGTGTGTGTGTGCGTGGACACGGTGGGAGAGGGGTGGGTGCGAGGCATGCTGCCTGCCAGCTGTCCATTGACTCAAATCCCCATCCCCTCCTTTAATAGGAAGCTCTAAGAGATGCATTGTTCTCCCCCAAAAAAGCAGACATGATGGGGGCAGCCCTGCCATCTGCTGTTCTCCCCTGCATCACCAGCACCAGCGCTTCATTCACAATCACAACCGTGCATGAAGACGGAGACACTGGAATCAGCTGGCGGTGGGGGCTGGGAACGTTTTGCATGAAAAGCAACAACCGAATGTGAAGGTTGTCGAGAGGGTAAACAAGTCTCCGCTTGTTGATGTAGCAAAGTCAGTGAACAAACCTTCTTTATCTCAAACACACAGACAAACGTGCTGATTTGCATGGCAGTTAAGGTCCAACAGCTGCTGAAGAATGCAGCACTGATAACAATTAAGTTAGACTACAATTCATCTGGGCTGTCAAGATGTCAAAAAAAGTTTTTTTTAGTGCCTCACATCGTTGCTCTTTGTTGATTTTGTTGGAATATTTTACGTCTGCTTCAAATTAGAAGGTTAGACATTAAAGTAGATATCTCACTGGGCTCCAAACATTATGGGGACGATCAAGCTTTTGTTTCTCTGGGTCATTTGTTATTTCTATAGAGTGCCAAGAAATTCCACTTTCCTTCACCAGTCATTTTGTGCATACAACCATAATGCTGGATTGCACCATTTTGGTAAAATTCTTGAAGAATCAATGTAAAATAATTAAAAAGTATATTTGTATTGCATTTCTACCCAGCAGAAAGGTCTTGAATCGAACAGCACATGATCAAAACGACAGTTATTTTTTCTATTTGTGAGGGAGTCTACTGAAAGTCTCGAAACATTTGCAATGGTTCTTAGTTTTCTCATGTGAGTTGTAAAGATGCACAAAGTTGTTGCTTGACTTTTTTGTTGCGGGGGTCTCAAATGAAGCGGGTGGGATGAGGATCAGCACCTCCAAATCTAAGACCATGGTCCTTATAAGATGGATTGCTCTCTCCTGGTTGGGAATGAAGTGCTACCTCAAGGGGAGTTCAAGTATCTCAAGGTTTGTTCATGAGATAGGGTGAGAAGTTCATTATCCAGGAGAGACTCGGAGCAGAGCTGCAGCTCCTTCACATCGAGAGGAGCCAGTTGAGGTGGTTCAGGTGTCTGGTAAAAATGCCCCTTTAAGGGCATGTCCAACTGGGAGTAGACTAGGGACACATAATATTATCGGCATGGTATCGGTATCGGCCAATATTAGCGTTAAAGTTCAATATCGGACATTGGCCATTCCATTAAAATAACTTGCAGATATAAAAGGCGCTGTTTTTGCCTGCAGCGGCAGCACAACACGATGACATCACGTGCCAATCTCACGGAGGAGAAGAAAATTCAAAATGTTGGCAGTGTGGAAGTTTTATTTTTTGTTGGTGAGGATGTCGGATTCCGAAGTTTTATGGACTACGTTGAGCCTCACTACATCGTCCCTAGTCGGAGATGTTTTTCTGACATAACGTTTCACGAGTTACAAGCTGTCATTTCCGACGTCATTGAGAAGCTAACAGCACGACTTGTTGGGTGAGTTTTACCACAGACATTTGGACGTCGTGTTAGCCCCGTTAGCTTGATTAGTCTTAAGCCCTCAGTATACTCCCACGTACATCTGTACGCGGAGATACGCGCATACGTACACAGAGGTATGAGCGTACCCTGCAGGGCATGTCCGCGCAAAGCTCAATTTTTATGACCACGTACCCTTATGCGGTGTCGCACAATAAACTGCCCGTTGACGGATTGTTATGTATGCGACACCAATGTATTAAATTTCTTCTTCATCCCTGATCTGGCCTTTTCTTTTGTTTTTTTGCAGAGAGGCAAGTGATCTCTTCCTCATCGGTTGATGCCATGACTGAAATGGTGAGAAATGAAAGAATTTGTCATGAGCAAATTAAACTCAGGTCCAGCGTGGCTGCGGGAGGTTCTGGAGATTTCCTGGTGGGCTGGTCTGATGTGTGGGCTGTAGAGCCAGCGCTCCCTGTTTTTTTTTTTATCCTGTTATTAACAATATATAAACACAGAACACTGATGTGGCTGAGGCTGCCAGCGCTTGTTTTTTTGTATTTTTTTCCGACCTGTCAATCAATCCAGT